TCAGCATCCAATATTTGCCAAACTTATTGTATATTTATTCACTCATTTCATGTGTCTTCACTTACGTTATATCATTGTTATTGTTTCTTCAGGTTGATAATTTCGTATTAGAATGTAGGCATTTAGCATGGATTGATATTAAGATGGTTTTAGGTTGCGAGTAGCTGATGAGAAGTCTCGAGACAAAATGTATGTGTGTTATTCTATCCAAACGGCTGTTTCCGTTCAATTTAAATTTATGAAGGGTAGAAATTGTGAGATAACGAGCAGTCTATTACCAACCAACAGAGGGGTTGGACTGCTAATGTACTGTCGAAGGACAGAGTGAAAACTTGTTTCTAATGACAGAAAGAGACTGCGTAATAATACATGAGGTAATGAAAGTAACCTATGTAAAGTTAAATAGACTGCCTGTTGCGGTCCTCAAGACAAAAAGAATCAGTGGTTGAGGACTCTAGGCAATATGGCTGAAAATCGGTCATTGTTATGCAGACTTATTCACTCCTGAACATTTAAACTTTGAATATTCGCACTAATCGTTATCTTCAGATTGTTTATTCTCTCACCCAACTTTGTCTACTTTGATATAACTCTTTCTGTCTACTTGTCCTTTGTGTACCACTGTTGAGTGTGGCAACTTGAGACAATGAACTTGTGTGCAGAGTTCTATGTTAGTTTGGTCAGCCAGTCAGTCAAAAGTAACCAGAAATGTAAGGAACTAGGCAAGGTGAGGATTGTTTCTAGACATAAACTGAAGTAGTCTGAGGTTCACGCTGATTTCATTTTCAGGGTTATTTTCACCAAGCAGTGACATCATTTGCGGAACTATTGAAAACCTGGAAGCACTGGGACAGCTGTTTTATCCTGGTATGGGACTCGTGGGTGCGTAGTACGGAGGAGCTCTATACTACGACGAAATAGCTGCCCATTACTATCAGGTTTTTAATGCTTCCCCAAATGATGCTAGTCCGTGGTGAATAAAACCTTAAAAATAAGGTGAAGTGGTTAGACATCCGCCTGACGAACAGGAAGAAGGAAATAAGAAACCTAGTGAGAGTATTATTTTTGCATTGACTATTAATAATGAGATACGAAAAGTAGAAGGGGAATTTAAAACAGTAGTAAGGAAGAAATTGGACACACTTCTTCTACACACAGAGTTTGGAACCGAAATGACGGAATACCAGAGTTTCTATCGTGCGCAGTCCGTAAAATAGTACTCCTTTTGAACCGTTTGGTCTTCCTTTAAAGATAATCTTAAGAAAAGATTCCAATGTAGCCATGTGACCTAAATTAACGAGATACTCAGGTATTGAATCGTTTACAGATTAACACTGACCCCTTAAGAGCCATGCAAGGTAATGTTCAGAAATGTATTTGGACAGTGAACACTTTGTTCAATCTGTATGAGTAACACCCCAGGAGGAAATAAACTTTCCACTGTCCCATTCTTTTTAAGCATAGTTTATTGACCACCAAATTTTTGTAGCCTTATACAACTTCGCTGTAAGTGAGCAAACCATTTTTGAAATACAAAACCTGAATTTTTTAACGCAGTTCTCAGTATAGAAACAGGGAATATCGATGAGTGCTGAGCTAATTACTCTAAAGATGAAGATTCCTGATAATACTGCTTGACGCACAAACGACCACTCAATATTCATAGTACATCTTACACTAGATTTAATAATTATTCATACACTAATGAACAAAAACATAGCCTTTATGCCCAAATTAAAATTGTGAAAAGGTATCCATCAATGAAAAATCACTTCAGACTGTAATTTTTGTAGACATTTCAACTTTTGTTGATGAAAAACAAAGTTCACCAAAGTTATGCAAATGGACAGACAAAATCAACGTGATACATCGCACAGAAGAGCATCCGTTCCAGTTCCCTTGCTTCACAGTAACATACACAGAAAAAGTGAGTGGCAAAAATGGTGATATCTAAGTATGAGAGAACGAACTTAAAACTCAAGGTTGGTGGAAATTTTCAAATTCCGGAAGACGTTAAAGAGTGAATAAATCTGCACTAATATGACTGATTTTTAGCCATGTCACCATAAGTCTCCAACTACTGATTCCAAACCTCTCGAGGATTCTAGCCAAGAAGTCTACACTTCTCTGCACGACTCAGACCAACAGTTAGAGACTTCGTTAACCGGTGCCACGTCTTGGTCTGGTCATTCTGGGTCAGCCCAATCCAACTTCAGATAACATTGCAAGTGGAGGTTGGCAGTGGCTCAACATATGTGAAACATGTTTAAGTCGCCTCAACCGGCGAAGGTTCACAGCTTCATCGACTGGCTTGCTCTCCCTGCCTAGTATCCTCGACATTGCTCAGACGATGATTCCATCATGAATGAGCAATGCTTTTGAAGATACATGTAGTCGAAAGACTGTAATCTCTTCATATCTTCTGCCTACAACTGCCATGTTCCACAGACTAATAAGAGAACAGAGAGGAATGCAGCATATTTCCCTCGTCCTTTCGTGGGTAGTCCGATATCTCGTCGGCTCGAGATGAAGTAACTGAGCAAATACCGAGATGACCTTTAGCGTTGGGAGTGAGATTTCGTCAGATACCAATCCTTTCGGACTGATGCGACTCCCAGAGTTGGTGAAGTGGTCATCGCACTCAGCCACTTCACTCCTTATTCTTAAACTGTGAGTAGCATCATCTTACATTTTACAGGTGCAAAATGCGTGCCAGATATACTCAGATTTCTGCTCAATGCGTTTAAAAAACCCTACATTTTGCCAGCACCTTCACCAAACAGGAGAATGTTGTCTGCATGCTCCAAGTCAACCAGATGAATATTTGCACTAACCATCACCTTTAAATTGTTTATTCTTTCACACAAATTTGTCTATTCTGATTTCACCCTTTCTCTACACACATTGTTTGTATAGTACGGTGAAGTTCGGTAACTTAGGCTGATGCACTTTTGTGCAAGATTCCATGTCTATTTGGTTTGTTTGTCTTAAAACACCAATAACGAAGTTGAACAGGAACGGTGACAGCTGCCATTCCTGCTGAACACCACTAGTTGTCACTAATTCAGATGACAACTCTTTATAAGCCCTTACACGGTTGCGTGAGTTCGATTAGAGACCTTTGACTAACGCTGCATACTTGCTCGGTACTCTCTTTACAGTCAGACATTGTCACAACACCCCACGGTAGACAGTTAAATGCCGCCTTCATGTCGAGAAATATGGCAAGTGTCGGCCACCGGTTAGCAAGCCAATCTTCCAGGACCTGTTGGGGGGGGGGGGGAATCTGATTAGTTTAATCCTATCCAGGTGCGAAACCTGTCTAGTTTTCTCAATTTTGTTATTCTCCAGCTCTAGTTAGGCATCGAATAAACCAATTTGACGAGCCAACCTCTGATTCCTATGCGCAACCCCTTACCTCCGTTACTATATTCAGCAGTTCTCTGCCAACATGCTTGAAAACTTAGGGTGACGAGCTGTCAGGTACCACTGCTTTGCATCGTTTCAGGTTAAAACGGCCTTCCCAACTTCGAGGAGAGTTGGAAGACTGACACCTTTGTTCTGTTCACGTTCGGGTCTGAGGCTGGACAACTAAAGTGTTACTGTTGACCATTTGAACTGTGCTTCAGTGTTGCCCCTAATGTTGTAGCTGCCCATTTTGAGGGATTATCAGGATCCCACCCTTTTCAATGATGGTCTCACTGACCGTCTTCCTCTTGTTAGTATCCTTAATATGCACAAATAATTCCCGAGTATTGCCTAATGTTGATGCCTCCACACGATTTTGCGGCCCACCACTTTTGGGGATGTCAGATCCTAAAACATGAACGTTTTACGACTAATTTTCAAAAATTTACCTGATGGAAAACTTGAGTTGTCTTTTACGAGTCATTTTCTTCCTTATGTGTATCGCTCATTTTTGCCGCTTTTAAGAACATTAATTCACTATTGGTTAACTGTCTTTTTTAATGTGCTAATATGTCTGTTCGGTCCAAGGACGCTCACATTGTACATAAACGCAAGAGTTACATCCCTAAATTCATACTTTCAGATTGAAGTCAAATTGAAATACAATCGCCAACCTTGTACATATTCATGCAGCAGGCATTGAGCCACATCTATTTTGCGAGAGCCAATGATATTACTGGGCTGCTCAAACCTCGGTAGATGAGGCGGTGTTCAAACCCGTGACCTATAAGTTGAAATTCATTTCCATAAATCAATTAGGCATAGCTCCGATTGAAGTAAGTTGTCTTCAGTCCAATATTGTCTTCTTCTCTGCGTTAGCTGAGCGAGTTGTTGAGTGGCATAACGTTCATTCAATAACTAGATTACGTGTTCCTAATTAACCATACCCGAAAATTTCAACAATCGCTGTTTGTGATTATTGAGAAAAACCTTAGTAAATTTAAGTTTGAATTTCTCCCCACTGTGGTCACAGCCAGCTGCAATGAGTCTTCTTGCACCAGTCAGTTAGGATGGGGTTGTGGGAATCCACTGGCAAAGTTATGGTGCTGCTGATATAACTTTTCATGGTCAAAGTGGCGATATTTTACTACAGAATTTATTGTTGCCTCACAGTCGTAAAATGACTATTGAGGTATGCAATTTACGAGAACCTTTTTATCCAGAATTCGCCAATGGCTTGCATGTCTGTTATTGCTCAATTAGAGCAAGATTTACCTAGTTGACTCTGAATGGTTGAAAAAATTAAACTCATATGAACAATCATTTGCATTGGCCTTAATTATTATCGGTGTTTTCCACAAAACATGGGTTATATACTTTGAACTATTTCAAACCAAAACCCACATTCATATCTATTTCTGAGCGCTAGTCGCAACAATGAAATAAATAAGGCCATCTATAACAGGCATCGTGCTTCCTAAAATGATATCTTACGGCACTACATTTTTCAGAGCTTTCAAAAAATGATAGCTGGTATCAGCAAGTATCTACAATTAATTACTTAACGTTAAACATACAAAAAATAAACTTACCATCGTCATCCACACGAAATGTACCGAATCCGGAACCACCCACCACAGCATAAAAAACATTGAGACCTTCCACATCGACTGCCTTTAACTGTAATTTGGACTCAAGACTACGTTCTGTATAAATAAAGCTCCCACAAGGCTGGTTCTCTCGTATCCACCCACCAAAAAGTGCAGGGTGATTCATGAAACGTGGTGGAAAGACATTGAATCTCACTGATAGGACATGCACTATGAATGAAATATTGGCATACAACTGTGAAGCACCATGATCCATGGCCCATGCAGTAAGTATATGAGTGCGAGTACCTTTTCTCAGATCACACCCTGCTGCTAAACGTACAACGCCAGTAAGCTGATCAGTATGGAAGCAAGTTGCACTACTCTCTTGCTTTCCAAATAAACTATATCTGATGAATGCATTCATACCTTCATCTTTATCAGTAGCCATCAATGTTGTTATATAAGCACCTTCAGGAATATCTTCAGGTACATAAACAATGTATCCATCAGTACCAAACCAAGCGTTTAAACCAATCACATCAGACAAGTTCTTATAGATGTAATGAGATTCTTGAGGAAGACCAGGTGAGTGGAATACTGGAGGGTTGTCGTTTACATCTGTTACAATTACACGAACACGCGTAGTGACAGAACGACGAGCATTATAATCCACAGCTCGAGAAACTTGCATTAGGTCAGAATATGGTATTTTGAACTCAGACACCTGATGGTTTCCACGAGGATACCCAACTGCTGAGACTAAGAGTTCATAAACTCCCTGAGTTTCTCGATCCAGCTTTGTTTTCAAGCGAATTTTGCCTGTTCGAGAGTGTATCTGAAACGAAATATGGAAACAAATGCTTTAGGATTATTGCGCTGATCCAAAGTATACCTATTACCATCTAAGCACTTGGAATAGTTCACCAACATTTATTATTTGATGCTATTAGAGTTAATGTTGATGAAAAACGGTAGTATCTTAAGACATGAAGTATGGAGGTGGATGGTGATATTCAAAATATTCGATCACAGTCACTGTCACAGTGTTATTATAAAGAGGCTATATCAAGTAGGTAATAATGAGATTACTCGTAGAGTTTTAGACAATTAAGGCTAGTCGATGGCTTTGCAAGCTTAGAACTAATGGGATGATTGGAGTATATCTTACTCATGCTGAATCACCGTAAACATCGACTCGTCCTGACTGAAGCAGGACTATACTGGAAAAGTCAAGGGTAGCATGACTAATTTTTAAAGTCACTGACTTAGTCTAAGCTGCATGAAGAAGTGTAGGCTGAATATCCGGGACTCACAAAGCATTATAAATTGATAGTTACAAATCCTAGCTGGCATGTCTGAAGGTTAACTACAATGAAATATTGGCACTCAGAAAATGTCTTTTGAAATCAAGAAAATCTGGTTTGCTTTTATCGGTTTATTCTTCCCTTACTATTCATATTTTTATTTGTTCTGATACCTTTCTATATTGGTTGACTCCTTCTTTCTGTGGTGTCACGAATTATCGCAACCTGAACCGACACAAGCTTTTACGTTATGATGCCCAGCTCCACCAAGTATGTAAGCTGAAATATTCTCCTTTCCGTTTGCTCTTTCTATATTTATTTTCATATGATTTTGAAAGCTATAGAACAATGAGCAGTTGCCCACGTTTGCTGTTCTTTCAGTCAATCTTAGTGGTTGAAAGTTTTATCTGATGGTAATCACGTAAAAGCAAACAGTTCTGGAAATGATAGTCGCCTCTGACTGAACTAAGCAATTGGATAACTAGACACTGAGAAAGGTTAGTGCATGTGGTAGTTGATGTTCAAATGCGATCCGTTGACGCTTCTAATCTGACTACCACTTACTCGAACTGCGTTAAACTGAGAGAACTGTACTTACTTACATTGAAGTATAGTCTAAATAAAATTCAGCTAGAAGCCTAAATCTTCTGACAGGTTTCGCTTGAGTAACAGCTTTGTAAATGAAAATGAAGTGCTTGAGTGTCGATATAAACATAAGAAGGAAATTATGTATACCAGTGACTGCTTGATAAGCTGATGAAATGAAGCTTATTGAAGCAAATAGATCAGTACTGAACACCTAAGGTAGTTCACACGCTTAAATGAAGACACTTAATTTAAGAGGTTCAAACTCTCTTCACTTGTTTAATGGTGGACAACTGGGCAGCAATGAAACCATTCAACAGATTCAAATCACAACCAGCAGTACACCAAAGCTATAAATGCTTAACTAGTCACATCTCACAACTTAGGGAAGGTAGGGGAACTATAGGCCAAAAAATAGTAGTGTACTTCTCGTGTAAATACTTTCGCTATTATCGACATCATGAGAATACCCTTTCGTGGAAACTTCAGTTTATTCAGGACAAAAGGGCTTTTAATCATTGAATAATCACCAGTTCTGAGTCATGCAATCTAAACACAATGCATATAGGACTACTTCAGAATTTCACAAGTGCGATAATGATGAAGACCGAAAGCTATCTTAGATTCATTACCAGTATGGTAGTCTTAACCTTATTAGTGCTGTTCCAAGATATAAAATTCGTGTGATATAATAAGTCGAGCAGATACAATTGCCACAACATTTCAAGTAGGCATCAATTTTGGTTACACTATATTCTTCAGGTGGGGAAGCAGACTATATACGGCTACCCATACTTGGAGAAATTTTTTACAGTCTGAACAATGAACTCAACAACCGTAATAAGCTATCTGTCATCACACTTGGACTTAACCCCAAATGAAATAATACAAGCCGATTATTTAGTTCAGTTCTTAAAACACTTAAGATACGCTTTCATTACTTTCGGTTACAGTTTGAAATGTAAATCATTTAATTACGAACAGTTTATTTCCTTAACACAGCTTTGGTAAAAAATGCTCTAATCTAATTCAACATATTAAACTCAATTGATCACAACAGCGAATTTTAATAATATTTCATTATAAAGTTACTTTGTCTGAAAAAGATTTGAAGTTTGATTATCATGTAGCTGAATTAACTATTATTTCAGTTGGCTCTGGCTACTCATTTCATTTGATAACAGTCTAGTCCATAAGTTGGATGAGATCAAAGAATACATGCATTAAACTTACTAAAAATGTTGAATGACATCTGAGAATATGCTAAACACGTTTAAATATACTGCCTGCTAATAATTTTAGTAAAAATAGAAAGTTAAATTAACTTTACGTCATCTAAATACATAGTGGTTCACACAACACGACGAACACTTAAAAAACCTAAATTTATTACCATTGCCTGCTTACACACGGAAACCTACCTTGAATATATCTTGAAAATTTAACAAATGATAACGTATTTCACTTGTAACATCACGATCAAGAGCTCCAACTTGACCCAGTATTGAATCAGGCTGTACATCCTCAGGAACACTAATATGAGCTGAGACCACACTCTGTTCAACTTGTGCAACAGGTGTTGGTAAAGATGGGTTAGTTGGGATATGAGCAACATCAAATGCTTGAGAAACTGATGTTTGCTGGAGAAACTCAGGGGCATTATCATCTAGATCACTAAGAAAAATATGTAGTGGAGAGAAAGTGCACAACTGTGGCTGCCCCAAGTCACATGCATGTAAAATCAAACTATAACTGGAAATCACTTCCCGATCTAGAGGTGCAGCAACAATAAGAGACACACCACAGCAAACTGTGGCTGCGTTTTTATTATACTCTCGACGTAATCCAGAATTCGGCACAAGCAGGAAAGCTTGTTTAATATCCATGTCTGTTACATATGGTGCTTCAGTTTCGGAAGCCATTGACCTCAAAGCTTCTAATCCATAGACAACTTGACCAGCCATTGAATAATCTGCACCATCTTCATCTGAAGCTGCGAACTTTAAGATAACTGTACCAACAGGAAGATTTTCAGGAATGTGTATACGAGTGGGTAAATCCGTTGGAAATTGTGGTCGATGACGATTGGACTGAGGTTCATAAAGAGTGTTCTGGCTGAGTAGAAACTCATACCTACGTTTTTGCACTTTCAAAGCCTGCAATTCATCATATATATGAGATGACTTGCAACGTTTTGTAAAATTGGTCCCAGCTATTTGAATAGGAACCAGATTTAGTGACAAATTGCACGACTTCTTGGAAACTTTACTGCCATCTGAAGCCTGTAAATTGAGGATAATTTGAGTCCCTGGTGACCCCAAATACGAACAGATGATACTTAGGTCCCCTGTTTGTTCATCAACTTTAAAACATGGTCTTGGAAAACTACGTGCAGCAATATGTATAGTTATAGAACTTTGGCCATCTCGATCTAAATCCTCAGCGAAATACCTACCTATCTTCAAATTCGGCGTAGACGAACCAGACATAAGAGAAACTGAACCTTCTTCTGTGACTGGTAATGAAATTTCGCAAGAATCCTCAACAAAAACTGGAGAGTGTTCATTAATATCCTGAATTCGAATGAAGAATATAGCAAGAACACTACGAGGCAATGGAACTCCAGAATCTGTTACCCTAACACGCACCACAAACTCAGATGGCATCGTTTCTGCATCTAGAGGCCTTGACACTACTAGCTTGTCATGACGAGAACCAGATAACGAAAACGGAAGGACGTCATTATCATATAAGACGTACGAAAGATCTGTATGTGATATATCCGGATCATATGCAATGATTGACAAGATAAGAGAATCTACAGAAGCGTTTTCTGGTACTTCGTATGTCGACCCATTGTTTTGTACAATAGGATCCAAGTTATTGACGTCGAAAACTTCAACAACTATACGCGACTCTGATGCGCTACTCAATAATAGGTTGTTGCCATCCACAACATTGAAAGGAATAGTGATTACACTGCTACCAGAAGTTCGAAATGAGTTTTGAACATCAGGATCACTATCCAAATCAAGTGGCTGTACAACAACAAGGTAGCCGCTTTTTGTCAACTTTATCTTTTCTCCTAATTTTGACTTCTGATACTGACTCCGAAGGTCTGTAAAAACATAGCTTGCATTCGTCAAATTGAAAGGTGCAGATGGTTTTAAAACTCCAATCGTTGAGTTTACAATAGCGGCTTCTGAAACTTGGAATCGAATTTCAGCAGGTAAGGATAATTTGTACTTCAGCTTGGAAACCACTGGAATGCTAACTTTCAGATGTGACAAGCGCTTGCTGACCATGCTCATAATTTCATCTGTTTCAGTGGGAGTAACCACGTACGCTTCCAGGGTTAAAACCACCAACGAGCTCAAAGAAATGGAGGACATATCATACTTAACTAGAATCAACCATACGTTTTTCTCACGCATCGGTACAAGCTCAAACTTTTCTTTTGCATCTGGTTCTAAAATCTTCAGTTTCACTCTTGAATTAACGGTAGAAAGTGGATCAATAACATGAACACGAGCGTAGGCAACACCAGCCGTACCAGGTACGTTGATGCCCTCAAATGGTTCCACCTTTATCACTAGATCTGAATGTCTAGACTTAATTATTGTTGTTTCAACCCTGGTTACACTAATCGTATTGCAGTGTATGCGGTCATGACCACCGCGGCTTTCAGCAAAAACATTGAAAGTGTAGTTTGGTACTCCGAAAGCGTCGAATTCCGATTCCATCTGCATAAATTCTGGATAACCGAAATTTGTAGACTGACTTGTCAAAGAGCGAGTGAGAAATATATCACCTGAGTGCAAATCAATACGAAAAGGGGTCATAACTTCTGCAGGATCTAAGTAGAAAAAATTCTGAGCAATTACTCCAGAACTGGGACCACTAGCAGAAAGTTTGCCGATAGTCTCCTGAAGACTGGCATTATCAGGGACGCTGAATTGATAAACGTTCCTAGCAAATATTGGACAGTTTTCCTGTGCATCAAGAATGTTTACAACAACCTCCGTGACATTCCTTAGACTAATTGGTTTAATTGATAAGGTGTTGTGAGAAGTGAACACTGCTTCAATTCTGAAGCGATAACTACGCTTTTTATGGTTAGTTGGTCGATCAAAAGAAGCATAAAGATGCAGGAAAAAGAACTTCCCCAGTTTTTTGCAAGCTGCTTGAAAAGAGTTAGGAATGTCATCATTGAGAATGTTGAATACAACATCCCCAGATGGATTTCCACTAAAGGGTTCAGGAACTCCCATGTGTTCATTTGTTGGAATAATATACTGGTGAGAGCTTCCATCATCAATTAAAATTGTTTCATAGACAGATGAAGTAAATCCAAATGGAACATAAATCTCATCAGACAAAAAGGGAGAAAATGTGGAGATTTCAGAATTAAATAATTTCGAGATATGTAATATGAGAAATATTGAGAACTTGTTGATAATATACCTCCGGTAAAGAAAAGATTTAGTCCAACTAACATTTGATCGCATTTTAATGCTCTATGAAATCAAACAGTAGTATCCAACATGTCACATCATGTCCCAACTAAAAAAAGCACGTTAAAGAAGTGCAAATAAACCATTTTGAAAAGCTGCGTATTTCAATTGCTAAATTTAGTGGATTTAAACAATAAATGGTGTTGTAGGAACCAAAAGTTCTGTTCATCTAAGAGCACTGGTTTTGGATTCCTTGAACTCACTTCTGTTTCTTGGAGTTTTCTGTGATTTTTATTCTGGTGAACAGCTCTAGAGTATAGAAAGCAAGATTGTATACCACGCCATAATTTTTAGTTATGATTAATTACTATAATATTGCTAATAAATGTTCGAACTGTTTCCTTTCTAGATGATTTCATTTTTAATTTTAGAAGTTTGACTAGTGAATGAGGTTAACCAGCATTCATAAGAAAGGATTATCGTTTTGATCGGTAGGTAGACGCTTATGAGAACCAAATCTTTCATAAGTAACAACCAGTAATGATCACAATGTAGTATCATTACTCATTTAATATTTTCAGTTGTAGTTATGCATGTAGTCACAGACTGCACAAACTCATTAAAGCAACCTTCAATCCACGTAGGTGAAACAAGATTCTACAAATTCGTTTCCACGACCTGGGTTGTATCACTTAGATCAGCTGCTAGTTTGAAGGTAGAGTAGGAGCTCCATTTCAGGTAGTATAAGAAAAGCTTTTGTTCATTTGTATCAGACTTGTCCCGGCTCCTGTGTGAACGAGTCTCCTTGGGCAGTGGGAAAGTGTTGTCTAGATTCACATCACATCTTCGGGCTATTTTCTTATGACCGTTATTTGTGAATTCGTGACTGACAGACGAGAACACGGACCTAATTCCGCAGGTAAAGATGGGACAAAGTACCCTGCGAAACCCAAAGGGTTACCCACACTCTCCTGAACTACCTCCTAGTTGTAGTGATACTGACATTTCCATCTAACTTCTCGGTGCGTGGGCTGGGCCCTATAATTTCCGCGCATACTGCGGTACGACATAACATTTCCACGTCGTACGTGATACCTACAAAGTACGAGCCACTTCCATTCACACCTCGACTCACTACAACACTTACTCAGCATTACTGATTTGCCAACCAACGGATCACAGGAACTGAATTGCGTATTCCGTGCACTCCACCGACCAGCGATGATTTATTATATGGATACCTCCAATAATACCATCGGCTAACGTCGTTGAATGGGCTTTGGTTTGTTAATGCAATGTATTCTAAAACATTGGCCACTCATTTTGTTTAACCTCATTCAATTCGCTTGTACAACCATATTTAACCACTTCTTTAGATCGGTGTCGCAATTGTATTGCAGTGGCCGTTAAAACTGAAGGTTTGTAATTAGGTTTCGTACATATATTTTGCCGTGAAGAGCAATTTTCGCAGGGTTCACTTACTGTTAGAATATACATTCGATTTTGGCAACCAATTATCTTGGATTTGGTAGGCTTCGCTTTGGGTTTTGGGAACTCCAAAAATTCGTATCTTCGTTACGCGCTACTCAGCGGATTCGAAGCAACGTAAGTCTTTCAATTTCGGCTCTGCTCATTTGGCCGAAGATCTGGCTCTTTCCTCTTCGGAAACAAGTTTCAGTATTTGGAATATTCTGCCCCTTCCAATACGTCTTTGGGTAGCGGAAATCGATCTGCTAAAAGAGTTCATAGTGCTGCATCTAGACACAGGAGAAAAACTCCAACTGTAGACAATAATCTGGAATTTTCTAATAATTTGTGTGATGACAAAGAAGATAAAGTGAGTGTGGATGGCATTAGCATGCGTGGTTTATGTAGTATGCCTTGTTCCATTAACTGTCAAGCACTTAAGTCTCTGTCGGATGAGAAAAGGTTAGAAAAGGAATTGTGATCAAACGCTGCATCGTCTGGTGATGCAGTAGGAGTTGAGGATATGACAGGCAGTCATTCTAGGCCTGAGAATGCTGCAGGACTACCCGATCCCAGTGATATATGATATAACTTTGCATCAGATTTGAGAGATTGTTTGGCCCCGATGGTGAACAGCATCTCTTTATCAAGGGTTGAGCTGATGCACTTTGGTGGACAGCCCAGTCAGTACAAGTTGTTTATGAGTCAGTTTAGAATTACGATAGAGGCTAAACTTACCGACAAGAGTCAGATGCTGTCTTATCTCTCACTCTTTTGCAAAGGGAAGGCAAGGACAGGGATGGAAGCATGTATTTCGCTGCCTTCTGACCTGGGGTACGATACAGCTAAAGAAATCCTTCGTGATTTGTTTGGACAAGAGCATATGATTACCCGATCACTTGTTAATGACTTATTTAGGAATAGATAGCAGGCGGAGAATACTGTCAAGGCTATGAATGAGTTCTCTGTGAAGCTTAGGAGTGTACAAATAATGTTGTCCCAGACCGGCTATGTCACGGATTTGAATTCGCTAGTCAACTTGGAGGCTATTGTTAATCGGTGACCTGTAGATTTACAAGGTAGATGGGGTGACGAAGCAGACAGGACTCTCGTCACTGGGAGGGAGCCCGAATTTGAGGACTTGGTTTGCTTCGTTGAGGAGAGGGCTACAGTAGCTCGGTCGAGGTATGGCTTGTTGATGAGACGAAATTTAGAAGGCGATCGGGTGAAGGGTTCTGGCCCACAATTCAGAATTAGGTCACACTGCAACTTGATGGGAGGCACTGTTCATTCGACAAGTGATAGAGCCGCACGTAATACGAGTTGCATCTTATGTCATGAATCCCGCAATCTACCTGGATGTCCGAGACTTTTGAAAATGCCAACTGACGAAAGATCAGTGGCCAAACAACTTGGTGTCTGCTACAGTTGCGTGAAGAAGGGTCACATAGCTAACTTTTGCAATTACGGACTTAAATGCATGTTTGAGGATTGCAAAGTGAACCATCACTCATTGTTGTATATGGCGGACACTGAATCCAAGGTAACTGGATCAATAACCCACTTGAGATGGGATCTCCAAAAGTGAACTTGGGAATCGTCCCGATGAGACCGACGGGTCCAAAGGGAGCTCAGAAACCTATGCTTTAATGGATAACGGATAAGACACATCATTGATATTAGAAAACATTGTCAAGGATCTTGGCCTTATTAATGGGAAGTCCTTCCCTAGTCTGACCACGGTCACTGGGACTTCTCAGCGCAGGGGCTTGGAGACGAGCGTGGAACCCTGCTAGCTGGACGGATAGGGTTCAGTGAAGGTGCAAAGGGCTTACATTGTTAGTCACTCACAAAGATCGGGTGTGCACACTCTGTCTAAACGGCAGATTAAGGTCTGGAGCCATTTGAAGGACATCAAACTACCTCGGCTGCACAGCGATGCTGCTGGGATGCTAATCGGATGTGACGTTCCGGATGCGCATTGGGCCTTGGGATGGCGTATTGGAAATAGAAATCGACCGTTTGGAGTAAAGACCCGTTTGGGTTGCGTTGTATTCGGTCCGAAGCAAGATAAGTCCTCCGATAAAGTGGCCTTTTGCTAGTGTTCGAATAACTGTGATATGTCTGATAGTCTAGAGAGGTCGTATAATCACCAGTTCAAAGATTTCAGCTGCTCTGGCGCAATGCTCTCTGTGGAGGATAACAGGGGACTCGAAATTGCGTACCACTCCCCTGGGTTAGTCGACGGACATTTCGAGGTTGGGCCACCCCAGATACCCGACAATTATGAAGCGGCTAAACGTAGACTTGAGTGTTTGAAAAAACGATCAGCAGAAACTGGCGATCTGCTTGAGAGGTGTAAAGAAGCTAGCAGTCTGTCTGCAGTACGTTTAAGAGTTGGAGCCGCGGTCCTTGCTACTGCAAGCCACGCAAAAGAAATATTCTTGCAAGTCAGGATTCCGGGACATGACATATCAGCATTTCGTCTCTGGCCTGGGAGGCGCGGTAACACGGTTCCAGAGGCTAATGAAAGTCAGTTAGCTGTTCATCAATTTGGTGTGGTCTCGTTGCTTTTCTGCTCAAACTGTGTGCTCAAGGAAACCATAGAGACTTCCTGTGTGCAAGCAAGGAGGCCGCTGATGAAAGAATCAACGCAGATTATTTGTCTTCCACTGATGGCATCTCTAACACCGTTCCCTCACTCCACCGGTCACGGCATGTTTTCGATGCAGAAACTTCGCATCCAAACAGGGAGATCGGCAACTATCTGCAGGTTGTGCGGTTGATGCCTCAAAGTGAACGAAGTCAGGAAGTACGAGGAATCGATGTGGAGAAGACACCAAGGGGTCGCAAGTTAGGTTTGCCCGAAGGGTACCCAGGAGATATATTCAGGGATAAGGGGTCGAACTTAGTAGGGACCAAGAATAGGCCAGGTGAACGCTCGAGAGAACGGGAAGGCGAAGTAGTCCACAGTAATTTGCCTGGTAAAGGGATTGACTGGCATTCCAATCCGCCGGTGGCAAGCCAATGGGGCGGGTTTCGGGAACGCATGATTCGTACAATCGACAACCGTTCATTGGCTCCCCCACATCCGGGGTTGAAGGCCAAACAGCACTAACTTCGACAAAGTTGTTGTTGTTGTTGAGGGACAACTTAGAAGGGTTTGCGGGCACATGCGGGAGTGACAGATTTTCCAAGGGATGTCGACAAGTTAACTGCCTTGCAGGAATAGTTTGGACACGCTGGTCCAGAGAGTGTTTCTCATTGTTGCGGCAACGACATAAGTGGACAAATTCTGAGAGAAGCATCCAAGCCAGTGACTTGGTCATGATAATGTCGGACATCGGGGATAGGAATAAATGGCCTCTAGGGCTAGCACGGAGAGTGGTGTGCAGTGGAGGCAGGTCTGCTAGAAAGGCAAGATTAAAAACAGTGGAGGAAAGGCTCGTAAGTCCCCTCCCAGAGGCGTCGAGTGAAAGGCAGTAAGTAAGGAGCCCCCAGGCCTACTGGTGTAAACCCTGGGGACCACTCAGGGATATACGTAGGCTTGTGTCCGTCCGTCTGGTGTGACAAATGTTGATGGATGC